ATTATTTATTTATTGAACTTGTCCAAACACTTTAACACTTTCGAAATTTAGCGCATATGAAGAGCAGAGTTGCTATAAATATGAATGGCGAAAATGAAATCTGACTACATATTATGTATGAATGTACAACCGAGTACGGTTATTGCAGCCCTTTACTAGATTTAATAAATTTTGCACAAAAGAACGATGTCTTGTCGCGTTCTGCGGGAGTTTGCAAGTGTAAAGGATTGGTAACTATTTCACAACTGTCCAAACTGTCGCGTCATTGTAAGCGGCACAATACATGCATAACAAATGAGAACGAATATACGCTTATTCTCAAAGCGGCACAATACATGCATAACAAATGAGAACGAATATACACTTATTTTATAAATCGGCACAATACATGCATAACAAATGAGAACGAATATACGTTTATTCTCAAAGCGGCACAATACATGCAAAACAAATGAGAACGAAGAGTCGTGTATAAAAAAAAAAGGAGAAAAGAAAAACACTCAAGCTTTTTGCTTTTTTTTTTTTTTTTTAACATCACTCAGACAACAGTGATGATGACTGACTATGTATGTTACTATGTATGGAATCTGGAGAATTTGAAACTTTCGAAGAATGACTGCATGCCACACAATTGGTATTAGGTTAGCAGCAAGCATCAACAAATATATAAATTACATAAAAATTTACCATTTGCGCCAATATAGCAAACAAATGATAAATGTACAAGAAAGACATAGAACAACAATAACAGCAGTAGCAACACAGCATTTTTAAGAAATGATTTCATGAATTCTGAAAAACCATGAGCTGTGAATGAGTCCCTCCTGAAGGAAATGGCAACTCTTAGGTAAAAATAGCTTGAAAAGAATATTTATTGTAAGATTGTTGTATTTGCTACGCTAATATTCTAAAAGATCGATCACGCTGTCAACAATACCTAAAATATATACCGCTAAATATAGTCACAATAATATATGTTTTTTCCATACAATGTTACCAACATTTGTCTTCGACTTTTCATTAGGTTCACAGAAGCAATCAGTAAGCGAATCGCCTTCCAATCGCATCTAAAGTGTATGTATAAATTCATTCATTCATTCATTCATCCATTTGTAAACAATGCACCTAGACCCGTGTGTGTCATGTTTTTGACTCACAAACGAAAAAACAAATATGTATATACGTATGTATGTATGTATGTAGGTATACCTTATGTTAAAAGTTACAAGTGCGAATGTTTTTTCTTTTTCTTTACGTCTTCCCTTCTTCTAGAGTTTGCTTTTCCTCTACGCTATACGAATATCTTTATAAGTTGTTTGACACATTCTCCCTCTCTCTCTCTCTCTCTCTCTTTACCTCTTACTTATTATATGATATGCATGAACTGTAAACGCATAGATTTCTTTATAAATATTGACAATTCGTTTGTTTCTCTTTCTCTTGTCAACCGCTTTGTGTGTGTTATAAATAAAAGTACAACAAATACAATACAAATAACCGGATAAGTAATAAATTTTCTTAGTACTCTTTAGGTTTATAGTCGCACTTGCACAGATCTGACATAATATCAAACAGGGCAGCAGGAAATTTCGACAGTTGACGTCCATAGCTAACAGACTTTTATAAATTTTAGTTTATTCAAACAGCGTCTAGCCTAAGTGGTTTTAAGTAATTGTGAGTGTAAAATATGCAAATGTATGCGTAAATCTATACGAAAACTTGTTACTTACTCTATAAGAGTACTGCGTTTGTGAATGTGTATTTGTATAAATAAATATATATATTATTTGGTGTGGTGGTCGGTCGCTCATATATCATTTTTATTAAAATTATTTATTTATTTTAGTAATAAATAATTTTAAATAAAATAATATCATTCAAAAACGAATTTTCAACGTAAAATCTATAACAGGATGACAGCAACATACGAATACGACGATGTTATCACACTTTACTTATATGGCATTGAAACGTTTTCAGCAGTAGGTTGGCGCTGTGCTGTTGTATTATTTTTATTATCTTTTAATGTATAATTTATTTATTTTAAATCGCGCTCACCCACCTTTTTAGAGGGCGGATTTAGTTTATCCTCTCACTGAGAAGTATTGCAATTTCGCTGATTATTGCAAAGGGAAACACATCAAGTTTACGATAGTTGACATACAAATATTGTCCGATTATTAACTTCAAATTGAACATTTTTTGAAATTCAGAAAATTTTCCTGATTTGCATTAAAAATAATATCGTTTTTTATATCAAGTTAATTATCGCATAATATATTCACCATATGGACTAATCGAAAATTTACGATATTTCCATTGCAGTTATAATTCAAAGATCAGAAAATAATTGAAAATCAGAAATTATGAGAGTAAAGACACTACGGGGACTAACACTGCGGCCTAACACTTTGCTTAATACAGTTACTGGTATGTAATGAATTTTCAAAATCTAATGTGGAAAGTGATCGTGATCGTAAGTCGTTTCCCTTTAAAATCATATTGCACACAAAATTACGCACGGCATTATTAGATTTATACTCTCACTAATGCAGCAGAAAACCCTTCGATTACATATATTTGGCAGGAGAATAAAAGTTGACAGTAAAAGATCATCTGAAAGTTACATTGTCTACAGCAAACTTTTCTAATACTCATTGAATGCAATCATGACCTTAAAAAGAAAATTTAAGTAAACAACATCATTGTGTAATATTATAAAAAGATATTTATCCTCAAGATAATAAATAACCTATAAATGCATATTGCTTTTAACAACAAGACAGAAAATTATGTTCGATTGTGGCTGAATATTCTTTTAGATTTGCCGCCTTCTTCTTAAGAAAAGAAATTCCTGAAAATATTGAACTTCAACAGGCACATACTAACAATGCTTCATCTTCCTGGTGGATATGTTCAGTATGCCCGGGTATATATAACCAAGCCCAGAAGGGCTTGAGGTAAATCCATCGTTTGTTATATAGATTGACTTCGACTGATTTTCTGACTCGATATAAAAGTGTCTGTCCATCTGTGCGATTTCTGTTCTTGCGATCAACTTACAGCATTCTATTTTGCAAGTGCTTTTATTTGACAACGATATCAAGAAGATCGTTAAGGAAACGATTATCCAATACTTTGTATTCCCCATGATGGCTTCCGGGAAGGTGGATTGAAAGTGACCGATTCTGACATTCTGGCAAGTTGTAAGCTTATGAAAACGTTATTGTGAACCCTTTCTTCTGTTATCGATCAAGCTTTTGGAATTTAGTGTACATGAAAGTACAGTGGCAAGCAGAATGGCGTATCGATCTTAATGTTAAAAAAACTGAAAAAAAGAAAAGATTATTGCTGGTAAACGGTTCCACTTACGATTAGCGGAACTAAAGAACAGATAGCCTCACGAGAAATCTCGAAAAACCGAGTGATTGATGAATGAATTTCCTTTACCTGTTTAACTGTTGCCGTAGACTTACTTACGTATAAATAGACCACAACCTATATTATGCCCATCCTCGTTTGACACACGATGAGAATCACTAGCAAGACTTGGAAGCTCTCGTCTACTCTTTGAAGTCATCAACTTTCATAAAATATTCTAATATCATGATCTGCACAGTTAGTATGCGTGCGTTTTAAATTCTAAGGCCATCTATACAAAAATGACGTAAGAAACAGTTAGTGGAAAAATAGATTATTCAATGAAGCCATGACAGCACTGTATCATACTCATGCTGGCATGATAATCAAAAGCTTGTTCTTTTCCCTTTTTTGGCCTCTCTCACTGATCATAATACCTGGACTTAGTTTACTTGCTAGATGTTTTGCGGCTTTGTATCAAATTTGGTCGGCCGGGGCAACAGGCGCCATCCTCAGTATCAGCGAACCATCAAAAAAAAAAAAAGACAAAAAAATACTGTTATTTCCTATTACTGAATATATTTGTGCATATAAATGGTATAGCACAAGCATTCCTCTTCCTACAATCTATAAGATTGATTGATTGAGAGAAGAGTAATCAAATATCGATCTTTACCTATCTCTACTATTGAATAAGCAACTAAACGAAATTCCTCTCTTATGTTTTGCATTTTCAAGTAAATAATTTATAATTTTCTTGTTTGTTTATTAGATTTTTTTTCATAGTTACATATGTTGTTGTCTCTTACGGCGCCCACCCTATGTTTTTATATTATTAGGATAGCTTGTATTATAGCAAGTAGATTTTTTCATTTTCTCCATTTTTTAATTTTTTGCTGACGTTAACGTAGCAAATTAAGCACTGTTACGAGAGCTTACCGGTCAATACCAGTAACTTTAAATTATTCGTTGTAATTCAATGCCACAAAAGTTATTATATTAATGAGAATTTTTTATGCTTTTTTATGTTTATATTTATCAGTATATTTAATGAAATGAATTTGAGAATATTATATGACGAGCATATATAATTATCGAAAAATGTTTTTGCTCTCCTAATATGTAAAAG